TAACTTGGCCTAACGGACACAAGTATGCGTCCTCTGCAATAGTAATCCTGGTAAGTTCCAGCAGTAGACCATTAACTTGTTACATTCTCAGCTGATTCTTCGGCCTTGACAGCGAGAAGTATAATCCTTGGCAGTGAGCAAAAACAGGCCCATTTCCCATTCAATCATTATGGCATCTCTTCGGCTTTCCTGCCCTAGCTGCCAGCACTGTCCATTATCCCTCAATACTACTTCGTGTGCCAATTCACATAGCTACACCTCTCTGTATCCTCTTTGTTCCGATTTCACCCGAGAATGAATGTAATCAACTTTACCACTGGTTTTGCGTCTCGTCTGCATGGCTTCCTGATCACAATTGGCAGTTTCACTCTGCCGTTGAATGTTGCTCTAGAAAATCTCTATCTTATCTCAATCCGGTCCATCATATAAGAGGAGTTAATGGCATGACTGGCTCTGAATGTGTGAAGAAACGTGCACGATAGTCACACCAATGACGGCTCTCGAAAGCGACTAGGAGTAACAAAGTCAACTCTCCAATGTGGTAACTTATTGTAACTTCTTTTGCAGAGGACACAGGACTGAGTACAATCTTTGATGCCCCCCACTAAAAATACAACTACCTTCTGAAGACGAAACCAAGCCAACTCTATGTACCAGGAGAATACTAAGACAAAAACTAAGGACACGGAATGTTAGCCTTTATATCTATGACCGTTATTATTTTGTTAGGGGCGCCTTCATTTCATGAAAGTGCATGAAGAAGAGATTCGTTGGTCGATCTCACCAGATGAGGACGGATGAAACTTGTTGTACTGTGAGACTTTTGCAAGAATGACATATAGCTCTGATGATGTCCATCAATTGCTGGACGAAAACTCAGCACGTTTTAACCCCAAACGAGGAAGGAAGTCCCGTGGACTGTGTCAACATGAATATCCTATACAATCCAATCGGCTGCAGTACAACGAGTTTCATCCGTCCTCATCTGGTGAGATCGACCAACGGATCTCTTCTTCATGCACTTTCATACGAAATGAAGGTCCCTCTAACCATGTTATCTCAGGAGATTCATCGAAACCCAGTTTTTCTTCGTATCTACCAGTAAATATTTTACCATTTTGCATTTGATTTATTTGGATGAAAAAGAGTAGTCCTACTTTACAATTTTCAATATCAACTCTTTCTTAACCCCACACAGTGCTTCCTTCTCTTCGGGCCAGTCTGAAAAATACTGCTGCAGTCAGCACTGCTCCTTTCTCGTCTTCTTCCCGCCTCTCAGAAGTGGCTTCTTCGCGGCTGCCTACCCCGAAAAACCTGTCTTGTGATTCGCTTAGTCGACCTTCTCGAAAACACTCTCAACAGCAACATGTGCATCCTTATCTTGAGCCTTCTAGATTACTTTCTCCTCTCATCTCTCCTCATAGCGAGCTTGGAATTCAACACAATATGACATCTTCAAGGCCTGACTCGCAGGACCATCAAGATTCCATAAGCACAATCATAACCTCTAAATCTACTATCATTGACAATGAGATTACTCATCCTAGTGCTACTATTGATACTTCCGCTTCGTCCACCCTGATACAAGCGGCATGTCAAGGAAACGATTCGATTGTTGATGAGTCTTTTTCGAACTCTCCCATTCCGTGCTCAATCGGCGCTAGTCTCAATGGCGGATTTGGCACTGCTTCCGGGACGGATTCAACCAGAATGGCGCAGGCAAGCACTCCCGTATTTCGCGGAGATTCATTAGAACTTCGCTCTTCCCTGAAAAAGGAAGATGAGATGATTTTGGAAGTGGGCCACTACTGTCCGCGCCGGCACTTCGCCCAACATCACGATGTGCCGGTACTCAAGTCGACTTGGCGCCGTCTCTGGGCTGTCCTCACTGTCATGGAAGACTGGACAGCAGGATTCATAATCTACTTCGAGGCCGCTTGCCCCAATGCAGTTCGTAGAGAACAGGTGAATCATTTAGACGTTTATTTATTCTCTCCTTTATTCAGTTATCAGAAACGCAATTTTGACTTTTACCGGTGTATATCTTGATTTATATTCCAGCCAAGGTTTTTTAATTTTGTCAAGTGTGATGTGGCTCATGAATTCTTAACTGAAATTAGGGACCACATTCTCAAATAACAATGGAAAAGTGTTTCGATGACAACTATGCATGATAGAGCTAAACCGTAATTTATACTTACCCTCATGTTAACTATTAGGTTAACATTAATAAAGTGGATTATAAGTCTAATTTCACTATCACTTTTATTCACAGGCTTTAAAAATATATTATAATAAGATCCATTAGCAGAGGTATACAAGCAACAACGACCATTAAGACTCAGACATATAATTGGGGGTATAGTTAGACAAGG